AAAAACATCACTCAGTCCAAGGGCAGATAGGCTGTGTTAACCCACTATTGGACTCTCCAAGCAGTGCACTGGAGAAGCTGGGCATTACACATGGTTTTCGTCGACATTTACCTTTCCTGCCTATTCTTTCTTTTGAGGGGAGGGAGGCCATTTAAAATTCAGAATGGATTTCAAGTAAATAAATTAAATTATTAAATTAAGAATGGCTATGAATTCAAGGGGCATTTTGATAAGAACACACACATACACATAAATACTAACCAGGAAATAGTGATAAGAGAGTCATTAATGCTCCCACTAGTCGATTAACTGGAGAGATATAAAACAGAACCTGAAAAGAAGCAGGGGAAAAAATAGATCAGTAGTATACGATCTGAAAAGAACCCAGAGTAAATAACTGAAGCAGTCAAACTATCCCCTTTAAAGCAGCAAGATATTTATATGAATGAGCTGGAAGGGACTTTGGAGGTCTTCTAGTCCAGCTCCCTACTCAATCAGGAGAACCTATACCACTTCAGATAAGTGACCATCTAGACTTTTCTTAAGAACATCCAGTGAAGAAATGCCCACAATTTCTGGAGGCAAGCTGTTCCACTAGTTAATTGTCTTCACTGTTAGGAAGTTTCTTCTTAATTCCAGGTTGCTTCTCTCTTTATTAGTCTCCAACCACATTGTTTCTTGTCTTGCTCTAGTGCCTTGGAGAATAATTTGAGCCCCTCTACTTTGTGGCAGCCCTTTAAATACTGGAATACTGCTGTAATGTCACCCCTAATTCTTCTTTTCTTTAGACTAACCAAACCCAAATCCTGCAACTATTCTTCATATGTTTTAGTCTTCAGACCTTTGATCATCTTAGTAGCTCTTCTCTGAACTTTTTCCAAAGTCTCAACATCTTTTTTGTAGTATGGTGACCAAAATTGGTTGCAGTATTCCAGGTGTAGTCTTAGTAGGTTTTATAAAGTGGTACTAATATTTCATGTGATCTTGATTCTGTGACTCTGTTTATATAGTCCAGGATTGTATTAGCCATTTTGGTGGCTGCTGCACACTACTGGATCATATTCAGTGATCATCCACTAGCACTTCAAGGTCCCTCTCATAGTTTTGAGCCAGGTCACACCTAATCTGTAGTTTTACCTTTTATTTTCCTGCCTATATGTAAACCTTGGTTTTTCTCCACATTGAAATTCATATCAAATAACTGTCTCAAACATCCAAAGGGCTTTAACCTTAGCACGCTTGTCTGCAATGCATTTCCCACAGCAGTTTTGGAGGCCCAATATAAAAAAATACCATATGAGGTGAGTCTGTTCCCCTGTGGACGAGGGGCCATTGAAACTATAGTTCATGCCCTGCTATACTGCATTTTCTATAAGGACAGATGGATTAAGTTTATTACACTTTACTCAGTAAAATATCTGGGAAACACTGATCATTTTTATGTGCAATTACTGTTATCAGGTCCATATGAAATAGTTTTTCTGAATGTGGCCAAATTCTGCTATACTGTATGTAAAATTAGGCAAACTATCCACTGTTAATCCACTACCAATCACAATATATTATTCTGCCTTTTATTTTTATTTTTTACTATTATCATTTTAATGCTGTTATTTGCTGGTCTGTTACCATAATAAAGATTGGTTGATGATGATTGATGATGATCAGTAGTATCAATTTACTTATATTTAATATAGCTGTTTTACTCCGCCTCCTGTACAATAACAACCACAAACAAAATATATTGCAATCTGTGTTATTACTTCTTGAAAATTTATGAATCCAGACCTTATGACTTAAAGTACTGTATTTTTCGGAGTATAAGACGCACCGGAGTATAAGATGCACCAAGGTTTTGAAGAGGCAAAAGATGGGTAGGGAGAGAAAGTAGGTAGGTAGGTAGGTAGAAGGAGAGAGAGAGAAATACAGTAGATAGGTAGGGGGCGAGTACTGTGTTTCCCCGAAAATAAGACAAGGTCTTGTTTTCTTTTTACCCACAAAATATGGTTTGGGCGTTATTATGAGGGGAGGGTTTATTGTTTTGGAGTTGCCAGGCAGCTCCTCTCTTGCCAAGGTGGCGCAGTGGTTAAATGCAGCACTGCAGGCTACTGCTAGATCAGCAGGTCAGCGGTTCAAATCTCACCGGCTCAGGGTTGACTCAGCCTTCCACCCTTCCGAGGTGGGTAAAATGAGGACCCAGATTGTTGGGGGCAATATGCTGACTCTCTGTAAACCGCTTAGAGAGACCTGAAAGGCCTATGAAGCGGTATATAAGTCTACTGCTATTGCGAGCAGGCTCCCAAAGAGCCGGGCACAGCCTCATGGGTGAATGGCTGTGTTACGCTGTCGCAGCAGTGGAACACAACAGCCATGAAGCGACCACGCTCACGAGCAGCCACCTGGCAAACCCCCTTTCCAGCCAGTCACAGTGACATTCACTGACCTAGGGGTATCACCAAGCTGCATGAGTGCCTGTTCACCGCTGTCCGGCTCCTGCGGCTTGGCACCTTCAAAATGCCAGTGAATGGCGCTCTGCACTGCTGGAGATGGGGGTTGTGCGAGCAGCTATTAGGCTCCTGCTCGCGCGCCTCCCAGCCTCACAATGCCCTGGCCCAGCTCTCCCCTCAGAGCCAGAGCACCTCCGCTGCCACCGCCCTCACCACCACCATTCGCTCTGGGTGTACGCTCTATGGTTATGGGCCAACTGCCAGCAGAGTGTACAACCATAGAGCGTATGCCCAGAGAGGCCATTGCCGGAAGACTCAGTTTGGAAGCCGCCGAAAAAGGGATGCTGGGATGGTGGTGGTGGTGGCGGCGGCAGCGGAGATGCCCTGGCTCTGCAGGGAGAGCTGGGCCAGGGCATCGTGAGGCTGGGAGGCGCATGAGCGAGTGCGGAACAGCCACTTGTGCAATCCCCCTCTCCAGTAGTGCAGAGCACCATTCACTGGCATTTCAAAGGTGCCAAGGCACAAGAGCTGGATGGCAGTGAACAGGCACTCATGCGGCTTGGCGATATCCCTAGGTCAGTGAATGGCACTGTGCCTAACTGGAAAGGGGTTTTTCCAGATGGCTGCTCGTGAGCGTGGTCGCTTCACGGTTGTTGTATTGCACTGTTGCGACAGCGCAACATAACCATTCGCCCGAGGCTGTGCCCGACTCTTTCCCAGTGATGGTTAACCTTTTTCCTAAAGTGTGCCAAAATTGTGTGCTCGCACGCTGTCGTGTGTGCATATGTGCCCACCTGCGCATGGGTGCATGACCCCCACCTGCACATGCGCACACGACCCTCTGTGCATGCATGTGTCCCCCCGTGTGGGAGTTTTCGCCCTCCCCAGACTCCAGACGCTTTCCTGAAGCCTGGGGAGGGCGAAAAACAGGCCCAATGGGTCAACAGGAAGTTCGTCAACCGGTTTGCCCGTTGGGCCGTTTTTCATCTTCTACAGGCTTCAGGAAAGCTCCAGAGCCTGGGAGGGTGAAAAATGACCCAATGGCCCAACCAGAAGTTTGGGAACTAACTTCCGGTTGGCCCATTGGGCCTGTTTTTCACCTTCCCCAGGCTCTGAATGCTTTCCTGAAGTCTGGGGAGGGCAAAAACGCCTTCTCCTGGCTCTCCAGAAGGCCAAAAATCAGTTGGTTGGCATGCACATACGTGCTGGAGCTGACGGCTGCTGTGCCAGCAAAAATGACTCCACGTGCCACCTGTGTTATGTTACCATAGGTTCGCCAACATAGTCCTATCCCATTGAAGATTGAAGCTATGGATAGAGGGTATAATGTAGCTTTTAAAAACATAATCAGCTTCTTGTGTCATTATTTGCACAAATGTTCTAACTCGGTGGTCCCCAACCTTTCACTTTGGCTGCTGGACTCGGCCTGGGATGTGTGAGTGGCAGGCGCATGCATGCGTGCACATGCCCCTTCGTCCGAGTGGCAGGCATACTCTCCACTCACATGACTACAGCTTTTCATATGAATGGAGAGTTCTTGCACTCATACACAAAGGTCTACTTGCACTTTGCATATGTGTGCTTGCTCATCGCTTCTGAGGTCTACTTTGAAATAGGTCATGGCCCAATTGTAGGCCATGGCCTGGTGTTGGGGAGCTCTGTACTAACTATTCAATGCATTAGCTGCATTATGATGGAGCATTATGAACCATTATGCAGCAATTTACATCAAAATCTAGTGGAGAACTTTAGACAACCAATTGTTGGAGTATATGTTCTGGAAGATAAGTGTTACTTTGTTATTAAAACTTTTATTTTGGATATACTTTTTCTAGATTCAATTGTAGAGTTTTATTTCTTTTATTCTCTATAATGCATATATTTTACATATTTATGTAAAGTTGTAAGATTTTTATGTAAGATAAGGCCCGTTATGGATTACATTCTCTTGATCAATAATCAGGGCCAACAGAGGATACATATTGTAGGCTAAACATTTGAAAGACCTTTGCTGTACCAACGTTTAAAATACCACTATAATCATGGCTCCTTCTCTATGTTTTGGGTTGGTGTCTTTTTGAGTGTTTTTGCTTCTGCAAGTGAGGAAGAAAGTTTGCTGTTTTGTCCAATGAAGTTTTTTCATTCCATTGTATGCCACTCAGAATCCAAAGAGTTAGGTAGTTTAAAAATCTGTATAATATATAAGTAACATATATCAGGTTGCCTATTAATAGTGGACATTTATATGTCTGTTCAGAGAGAGGAAGCAAGAGACTTAATTTCACTAGCAAACTGTAATTTATGGTAAGTTAGCAAATAAGATTGATGAAAATATTAATACATCTACAGCAAACAAACACAATTAGCACCTCTCCATCCTGGCTAACTGCATATTGGAATAATGTGGCTCCATAAGGTATTAATGAAATAATGTTAGTGAAGTCATATATTTTGCCTTTTAGAAAATATGGGAATAATCTTACCTTCTTTTCTAGAAGAATCAACTTAAAAAGAATTAAAACCTTTAAAACATAAAGAAAGATAGATCTTAAACATTAGTAGTCCAGCAATATATTTGTAAGTGGCCCTATGCTTAAAGTATTCAAGTGTCATATCAATGTGCAATATAGATCCAGAAACTTTTCTTTTATTTACTTATATTTGTAACTACATGGTGCTTTCTTTAAGATTCAAAGAAGTGGAAATAATTATGTACATTTCAATTTTATAACATACCTTGTGTCTAAATTGAAGAACCAGATCTCGTGGGGACAGGCCTAAAAACAATGGAGAGGAAAATGGCACATTTCAATAAAAGCAACTAACATTTAGAAATCTTCTAAGTAAGAGTCTTACTTGTTTCCATTTACTATACATATGAATTCATTCTCTGGGGTAGTAGTAATGCAATATTGTGAATTGTTATTTAGATAATCTCTCTTTGTATAAAACATCAAAACTTTCACAGCCTATGATTTCTTACTTTGCAGGCAAATAGATGAATGTAAAGAGTCTTTATAAGCAGCAAGAGTGAAGATCTGCCTCATTATTCATTTTACTATGAGAAGCATCCTTAAGTACTGGATTTTTACCACCATTAAGAAAAAAATATTTTTATTGCATTGTATGTCTTCTTTGTTTAGTATTGTTTTAAAACATGGGGCAGGTTTTTGAAGGAAATATCAACTGACAATACTATTTCTCATCACTGACCAATATATTATTTACTTACTATAATGAATATTTTAGACAAGATATGACTTTTTTTGGTCATTTGTATTTTCCTTTGTATAAACTTGGTGCAATAACTTTCTTTATATACTGTAAATTAATCTGGATTCATTATGCATTAGAGAAGCTTGCTGGCACTATGAATGAAAGAAAGAAGAAGAGGATAAAATTATAGTGAAAAAAGTTGAGTTATTTTATTAGTCCTCAAAAGTGATTTGGATTTTAACTTTTCATATCAAGTCCTCCAAGAGAAAAATGGGAGAAGGACTGAATAATCTGTTTCAATAACACATGTTTAATACTGTGGTTGTGATTTCTAAAAACTATTTTGTAAGAAATTCATCAGAAAGAAATTGAAATGCGAAAAAAGAAGTTGAAATGAACATAAAACCTAATATTTTATATGATACATGACACACAAATTATGACACACTGGTGCTTGACAAATGGGAAAGATAATCAAAATAACTGGTAATTTTTTTCAGACTTACATGATTGGCATTAAGCTTTATATGTAATAAAATACTTATAAAAATTGGAAGTGTTATGTTATAATATATAGCTTACCAAGATAAACTTGTGACCCTTCCAGTGAGCTCCCTCCCAGTGAGCTATTCATGTGCTCATAAAGTTCCTGAAAAACCATAAAATGTTGAAAGCATGAACATCTTGTTTTAAAAGTAACTTTAGGGGGGAAACGAAAAGGTCTACTTTATATAAGAAAAATCTACCAAAATACATTTTCTAAGAGATGTAACATTTTTGGAGTCTCTAAAGATATGGTTATCCATCCTTTAGAATCCTGGGGTTCAGAACTGCTTTAGATATAGCTTTAACGGAATTTTGCAAAGATTTTATATACAATATGCTATTCTACAAATAATGTGTGCATATAGCTTTCAAAAATATCACTTAGCAATAGTTTCAGTAACTTTTAGAGGGAGTATTCTCAAAGAACAATAACTCTTTTTTAAGCATACAAAACTGGCTGTCAGATTCTTGCTAGAAATTGCCTTCTAGCTTACTAACAATAGACACCAGGTTGGATCTCTGTTTCTCTTTTGTAAATAACAGGTAAGAGGAAATTAACATTTAGCAGGCCTGAATTACAGGGCTATGTGAACCCTGTCACCCCCATCTGACATTTGCATCTTCTTCCTTCTGGTGCTGCTGCTGCTCAGGCACACTAAGCTTGGCCCTTTACAAAGCAGCTGGTGTTGCACTAGGCCTTCTTCTTAAAGCTGTGACTTTCTCATACGCCTTTCAAATTAGACAAGGGCCATATGCAATTTGGACAAGGATACCAACTTCCAAAGCAGATTTTAAAGCTCTGACAGAAAACAGGGCCAGCAGAGCACAGGGTGGCAAGACCAGCAGAGGTAGCAAAGTGCAGGTGGCCTAGAGAGCAAAGATGAGGAAGATAGGCAGATGGGAGTTGAAGAGTCCTTGTGGTCATAAGTGCAGATGGGCTGCCAAGCACTCAAATTTTAATCATGTAACTGTGGAAGCATTGCAATGATCATAACTTTGGGAACCAGGCATTAAGCAGCACTTATCAGTACTACTTGTCATTGAACAACCAGTCATTAGATGAGGACTATCTATGTTGCAAAGAATATAATTAAGATGAACCTTCCATTCTATTCTGAACATGGATTCTGGTAAGTGTATATACTCTTCTATTAGCAATGGCTCCTCCATTACACTTTTAATGTTACCCACCCTTCCTCCCTCCCCATTCTCTCTTTCATAATCTTTCAAACAATTGTACTTTTGTATATTTAAAACATACCTTAAGAATTGAAATTTGTGAGAAGTCTTTCTCTTCAAAGTAGGCATGTGTAATTAGCTGCAGCTTAGCTTGAAGTAGCCCATATAGAGGCTTGCAAGAAAAAGAGCATCATATTATATCAACAAAGACAAACAAGGAGACAATAACAACAGGATATAGTCATTCCCCCTCAGGGAAAAGGGCGGTCTACAAATTCTAATAAAACTATTAAAAACAGTTGAATTTGAATAATCTGAATACACTGTATATTCTTCAAGCCATATATCATATACAGTTGCAACTAATTTATGAATATGAATTAGAATGGTCAGTTATTACATACAGTATCATATGGGTGTTTTATCTTTAGGGTGGACAAGATAAAAGATAAAACACCCGGACAAAAACTGAGCAATGTGTATATGCAATACAATGCAGCAAGCCAGGTACAGATCTGTACATTGAGGAAACAAAACAACCACTTCATAAGCACATGGCAGAACATAGGAGAACAAACATAACAGGACTAGATTCAGCAATCCTCCTGAATTTAAAAGATACAGGCCACTCTTTGAAGACAGCAAAGTCCACACTTTTGGACAGAGAGGATCGCTGGTTTGAAAGAGGAGTCAAAGAGGCCATCAATGTCAAAACTGAACAGCCCTCTCTCAACAGAGGGGGAGGGATGTGACATCATCTATTGCCAATCTACAACACAGTCATTTCAAAAGTTCCAAGAAGGCTCCACACTCATTTGCACCAATCATGATGATATAGTCAGGGGACTGCAACCTTAAACACTCAAAAAGCCATTTGGACCCATTTCCCACAGAAAAGAAAACACAGGGAGCCACAAAACCTGGGTGGGTGTGGCCAACTCAATGTCACTCCCCCCCGACACACCTACCCAGGTTGAAATGGGTCTCTCTCTATCTATCTATCTCTCCCCTCCCTCTCATTTCTGTTTTTCTCTCTTTTTCCTCTCCCTCTCTTCTTTCTTTCTTTTCTTTTTCTATCTTTCTTTCTCTTTCTTCCTTTCTTTTCCCATTGTCTCTCATTTATTTCCCTCTCTCTCATTCTCTCCCTCCAGCTCTCTCATTTCTCTCCCACTCCCTTCTCTCTCTCTCTATCATGTTTCTCTTTTTCCTCTCCCTCATTCTCTCCCTCCATTTTCTCATTTTTCTCTCTCATCCTAGGGCCCCTAGTGTTTTCTCCACATTGGCTCATCAGGCTGCTTTTTGCGATTCCACATCCTTTGGGGACAGCACATCACCAGCCACGGTCCCCTTTGTTTTGGCTCAGGAAGGAACAGCTGCCACCACCGCCAAATGCAGGGAGGGAATAAGCTGTGGCTCTCCTGTGCAGCGTGGCCAGCTACTCACTTGAGCCTACAGTGGTGACAGCGGGAGGAGTTGCCACTGCCGCTGCCATAATCCTGACTCAAGAAGATATCCTGCTTGTGTGTGCATGTGCAAGAAAGATAGAGAGGTAAGAGAAAGAAAAGGGGAGAATTCTCTCTCATCTCTCCCCTTCCCCCTTGTGAGGAAGGAGGCGAGGGCTGCCTTGAGTGCAAATGTGGCACGAAGGCAAGTACAGGGCTGCTTCGCTCCTGTACTAAGGCTCTGGCCATCCCCTTGCCGTGTCCATCCCACCCCGCAGCTGTACGGCCAAGCGTGGCAGGTGCTGGAGCCCGAAGTGGCGGGAGGTGAGGGTTGCCTTAAGCACAAATGGGGCACAAAGGCATGTACAGGGCTGCTTTGCTCCTCTACTAAGGCTCTGGTGACCCTCCTCCTCTCCCCCTCCTTTTCGTGAGGGGGAGAGGAGGTGGTGAGGCCAGGAAGGTGTGCATGAGCTGGGAGACCCTCCTCAAGTGAGTGGTTGGCTAGGCCAAAGTGCAGCAAAGGTGTCCATGAGGCAAGTGGGTGCTCACTTGAGGGTCTCCCCGCTTGTGCGTACCCGCTTGGCCAGGGGGTTGACACACACAAACACACACACACACACAGCTTTCATTGAAAAGCATTCTACGAGTGGTGAAAGTCATGGCTGGGTGCTATGGGCCTGTCCCCTTTTCTGTTGTCCCGTCATCCTGGTTCCCATCCTGTCAGTCCTCGTGTTAATGAGGCCGGTGTCGGCCGTGGCCAGGTTGGGCCAGTGTCTCGGGGTGGAAAGCAAATTGCAAATCTCCCCAAGTGATCAAGGCATGCCCAGCACCAGCAAGGACTGGAAGAACTCCAGCAAGAGGAAGCACCGGAGAATCAGCTCCAGCCGCTCTCCATTCCCTGCCATCGCCCTTACCTTCTCAGGCCAATGATTGGGGGGGAGGATGAGGGGGGGCACCCAGTGGTGGGATCAACCAACAGGGAGCCAAAGCAGAGGGCCCAAAGAGCTGCATGCGATTTCAGAGCTGCAGGTTGCTGACCGCTACATAGATACACCTTTAGGTGACGTTAATGACTTGCTAAAATAATGCAAATGACCAGCTGTCTGCAAGGAGTGTACATTTTTCCATTTCTCACCATGCAGTCAGAGCTGAAGAAGCTTCTTGAATGAGAAGCAAAACATCTTCAAAGAAAAAAACCAGAAAGTTCAGTTGCCTCTTGAAAAAGCACTTTTGAGACATCTGGCTTTCAAAGCAACACTGGTTCTAATTGTGCATAAATCTATGGTTTTTTTTTAATATGCTTTTATTCAAAACATTAGATAATAATACAGTAAAATATGGGCAAAGTACCTCATTCTATTTCATTAAAAAAACTGGTATTATAAAAGAATAATAAACTGGGAGACAAGACTAGGGAGACAAGTATTTAGATTTAAATTAATTGTGAAGAACATTGCATTGTTTTGCCTAATAAGATTCCAATTCCAAACTCTATGCTTCAAATTAATCTTTTCATAAACTATTTCTTCATATTCTGAACGTGCGCGAATACCTGACAAGTAATAAATTTTCTTCTTACAGAGAACTGAACAATGTATACTGGACACAAGGAGAGAGAAATACTCCCTCTGCTGGCTCTCCTAAAGTGGTAAAGACTTTTGTGGAACCCTACATAGTCTTTAACTGGCTATACCAATACTGATCAGCCTTACATTTCATCAACTTTACACTTGCACCATCAACTTTACACTTTACAGCTGGTCAGCTCTTAAATCTCAATACTTTAACAGTTATGTTGAAAAGTATAGTAGTACGAGCATATCCAGTTGGGTTGCTCTTATTTAATTGTTTATAAAGAGTACTTTTCTCTGTCAAACAAATTCTCTGGAAAGGATACCTTTGATGCAGATTTCAGTTCATGCAATTATTCATATCTAAACTAAACATCCAAAACCAAAGTATCATATGTTGTCTTATCTCTTACCAGCTGGCTTAGAACACATACACTTTTCTGTACTGTTTCTCGAGTAATGTCTGCTTGCCGTACTTTCAATGCCTTAAAGGAACAAAAATTAAACTTAAAAACTTTTCTTTACTTATTTCCATTTAAAAGCAAACATTTTTTTCACTAAAATATGACATTTATTTACTAATTTAAGATATCTAGAAAAAATAGTTCAGTAGATTAGCAATTTGATCGAAGGCAAGATCCATTTTACTGGAACAGAAAGAATATAATAGGGAAATATTAAAGTATTAGAAAAGTCTCATCATGGAAAGCTACCATGGACTTGTTTGGAGTTAATGTTATGGGAACCCATTGGTTTCTTGTTTCTGTCACCTTTTTACTCATTTTATTTTCTACAAAATAAATCTATTCGGAGGGTATTATTAATTTGGAACTAGAATACTGTCAGGCGTGCCCCATTCAGTATCCAAGAAAGAAAACTCCCAACTCCATTTGAGTAGAGATAAAGGTACTTTTACTAGACATAAAATGAAAGCAGCTGAAGAAAAGCAAGATCTGAGATAAAAAGGCGTGAACGTGTACATACCAAATGCTTACCCAGAACCCTCCCCGCAATTACCCCAACCCAATGTCCAATCTGCAACTCCCAAAGGTGTCCTGTGGGGTGCATCTTCAAGTGGCCTCATTCCATTGGTATGCAGAGACAGTTGACCTTGATCAAACCTAAACACAAGCCATCAGCATGTGTAGAAGTTAGTGAGACCAAAACTCCCTTCATAGATCTCCTCCAGCACCTTAAATTCCCCTCCCAAATACCACAAGCCCCCATCCTTCCTGTTACTATGGCAGCCGATAGCAAGCAAGCAAAGTAGAGGCTGACATTGCAGAAAGGACATCATCCCTGGAGAAAAAGATAAAACAGACAACAACAACAACAACAAAACAAATCACAACTAGCGTTTATCAGGATATATAGTATGGAACTTTTACAAGAGTTTAGGAGCTTTGACATTCAGACTTATTCACCCACTCAGCATGGGATGGAGGGAAATGTTTCCAGGCTACCAAATCCAGGATTTCCTTAACCTCAAAATGTTGTTCTTCTTCAAAAAGGAGGAGAACAGGGGGTGGGGGTGAGGTGAATGCATTAAAGATGTATATTCCGGTTTTAGTAAGTTCACATGGAACACGGAATGGATTCTCCTAAGGGTTTTTGGCAATTCCAATTGCACTGTGACAGGATTCACAATTTTAACAATGGGGAAAGGACCCACATATTTAGGATCAGGTTTCTTCGATTTCTGGGTAGTCTGAAGAAACTTAGTGGACAAGAACACCCTATCCCCAACCTGATATTCTTTTGGCTTTGACCTTTTTTATCAGCTTGTTTTTGCTTGGTGAGCCGCGTCTAAGGCTTTGCAAGTCATAGGCAAGAAATGTTGAAGCTGATCACTCAACTCAAATAAAGATAGGTTCTGTGGTTCCTCTCTAGGCAATTCAGGAATAGGTACAAAATCCTGGCCAAACGCTACTTTAAAAGGGGTCATTCCAGTACTGCTATGTACCGAATTGTTGTGTGCCACCTCTGTATAGGGCAAGAGGTCAACCCAATTATCCTGTTGATAATTGACATAGCATCTAAGATACTGCTCTAGAACCAAGTTAGCCCTTTCACAAGCCCCATTCATCTGAAGATGGTGGGAGGAGCTTAGACACTGGGCGGAGCCTATTAACTTCAGGAACTCCTTCCAGACGAGGGAGGTGAATTGGACCCCCTATCTGAAATAATACGTTCAGGAACTCCAAGTAACCTATACACGTATAAAATAAACAGTTTAGCCAGTGCTTTAGCTGACGGAATCTTGGAACAGGGAACAAAATGCACTTGCTTGGAGAACAAATCTGTGATCACTGGGACAGTATTTCCCAGGCTTTCTGGTAACTTGACAATAAAATCCATCAATATCTCCTTCCACAGTGCACCAGGTCGGATGACATTTTGAAGTAGTCCTTGAGGTTTTCCTAGGTCGCTTTGCCGCTGCACAAATGGGACAAATAGCAATGTAGGATTCTATGTCTTTTTTCAGAGAAGGCCACCAGAACTGACTTTTAATCAAATGTAATGTCTTCATGAAACCAAAATGCCCAGCCATTTTTGAGTCATGGGCCTGTTGGAGGACAATGCTTTTTAGACTAGCAAGAACATATGGCTTGGCTCCTACCTATGCAAGGCCATCCTGCATGGTACACTCATCGGAGTGTAGCTTGAACCACTCATCAGATGCAAGGCTTTCCCTGAGCCTTTTCGTCAAATCAGTGGGCACCTCTAAATCCACTTTCCCATGGCTCCTCATGACACCAGAGCAGTTTAGGGAGTTTCTCCCCTGGGAGGATTTCTATGCTGCAATTGGAGGTGCGGTGGGGGGGGGGGGGCTTGTGGGAAGCCAAAAACTTTTTTGAGGTCCCAATACTCTTTTGGAATTCTTTCCTCTCCCTCAATTTTTTCATGCAAAAAAGCTGCTAAGTCCATAACAGCTCTGGTTAGGTGGAAAGTCTTTCCTTCCACCTCTATTGGCTTTGCTGAACGGTTACGTAGCCACCCTTTCCACAAGTTTACCTGGGGGTTCCATTTCCGCAGCCAAGTTAATCCCAGTATGAGGGGCTGGTCCATCCCCGGCGCCATGATGAAACTCAGGGATTGTTGGTGGTCTTCCTCCACATCTCCACCGGTTACAAAATGGGCTGCCCCCCACTCCCCACAACTGACCAACTGGCAAAAGGCAATGGGTTCTTTCAGTTCTCAGACTTAAACCCATTTTTTCCACCACTTCAGGGCTAATTACGCATCATGTACAGCCAGAAAATAAAATGGACCAGCATCTTCCCATGGGCACCAGTCGAGGGTACTTTTAATACTACTGAGAATACTACTGGTCATGGGGCTCGAATGGGGACTTACCAAGGGATTGGAGTCGGAGTCGGTTTCACTTTCTTCCAAAGAAGGAGGGGGTTCCTTCTCCTCCTGACCTGGAGGAAGGACATCAGCAAATTCCACACCTTTCAGGGTGGTTTCACGGCGATTCCCTGACTACCGCTCAGGTTTCCTCCCTCCAGCCGAAGACGGTTTTGGGTCAAGCTTAGCGTAGCAGTCAGCAGACCGATGCCCCTCTTTTCCACATCAGAAATGCGCATTTGACCTCAGCTTGGTAACAGATCCCCTTTTTCTGCTCTTTGTGGCTCTTTCAGTGTGTGTGTGTGTGGGGGTCTTTGTCCTGGCTGCTGCCTCCACGGTATCGATTTCTGGCTAGGTCAATCTCCACATCAGCTGCCAGCACATACCAGTGTTGTAGGTCACAGATCCCCCTCCTGTTCACACAGCTCTGGTACACATCATGATGTAACTGTCCATCAACGCCGCCTGGGACCACCCCCGCATATGCACAGATAGCTTGTGAAACTCCTGAGTGTACTCTGCCACAGACCTCCTCTCCTGGGTTAAGGTTTTCATCCTGGTTCTTGCCTTCCTGCCAGGCAGCCTCTGGTCGCCGGTGTCAGGTAGTCATAACCCCTGCCAGCTTTTCCTCAGGATCACTCATCTGTCCCACTCCCAACTCCATTTGAGTAGAGATAAAGGTACTTTTACTAGACATGAAATTAAAGCAGCTGAAGAAAAGCAGGATCTGAGAGAAAAAGGCATGTACATATCAAACGCTTACCCAGAGCCCTCCCCGCAATTACCCCAACCCAATGTCCAATCTGCAACTCCCAAAGGTGTCATGTTGGGTGCATCTTCAAGTGGCCTCATTCCGTTGGTATGCAGAGATGGTTGACCTTGACCAAACCTAAACACAATTTATCAGCATGCGTAGAAGATGGTGAGAGCAAAACTCCCTTCATGAATCTCCTCCAACACCTGAAATTCCCCCCACACACAAATACCACAAGCCCCCACCCTCTTCGTTACAATGGCAGCTGATAGCAAGCAACCAAAGTAGAGGCTGACAAATACTTAATCATTTCCTATACAGTATATAGAACTCTGATCCTACGTTAAAACTATTCTAATTATTATGTTAATCCTTTGAATATAAATGACAGATGCAACTACATTGGAAATTAACTTGATTTTATAAATTACTAATTTTATTGATTTATAAAAGGACAAGATATCAAATAGCTTGCATAATAAATGAAGTAGAAATTCTCAGAAAGTAGTAATACATTGAGTGATTTCCAGGGAAACTATGGTGAACTTAAGATGGCTATATGAAAGCAGAGCCAAGAACATTATAAGAATCATCTTATAATGGCAGCAGAGACTTTTAAAGGACACTAAATTTGCAAACCTAACTTTCTAAACCCTTCTGGAATTCTCACAGTTAACTATTTCTAAGCTATTAGAGATCTTCAGAATAACAAGTTTAAAATTTCTACTGTGAATCTGGGTGAATCCTCAATGAAAAAAAAAGTTAATTATAAATTTAATAATTAAAAGATATTATGACATAAACAATGAAAACTAACTAAAAATGATCTTAGAAATTATCAATGGTCCAGATAAAATTGAAACATTGAAACTTTCACAATAATATTTTGGAACTAATTATAAAACACAAATATTTTTTCATGGGAAATATATTCTGTTTTGGTTTTAGGAGATTTATTTATTTAGTAAATTTATAGGCCGCCCAATCCCGAAGGACTCCGATATAACATACATAAGCAATGTTGTACTTTGAAAAATTGGAATGCAAAGAGGACTAAAGATTTTAGGTAAAGATACGTAAGACTGTAGGGACGCAGTGTAGGGATGTGGTGGCTCAGTGGCTAAGACGATGAGCTTGTTGATCAGAAAGGTTGGCAGTTCAGCAGTTCGAATCCCTAGCACCGTGTAACGGAGTGAGCTCCCATTACTTGTCCCAGCTTCTGCCAACCTAACAGTTCGAAAGCATGTAAAAATGCAAGTAGAAAAATAGGGACCATCTTTGGTAGGAAGATAACAGCGTTCTGTGTGCCTTCGCCATTTAATCATGCCGGCCATATGACTATGGAGACGTCTTCAGACAACGCTGGCTCTTCAGCTTTGAAAAGGAGATGAGCATTGCCCTCTAGAGTCGGGAACAACTAGCACATATGTGCAAGGGAAACCTTTACCTATATAAAACTGTAATATACAAAATATTATGACAGTAAAAATCCTGAAGGAGACTTCTGAAGAATGGAATCAGAAAATAGTAGTTACAATATCCACACTGTTAATAATGATGGCTGCTTCTATGAACAGTTTATATCCAAAAGATGTTACTGAAGAAAACTCTGATGTAGAACACATTTTATCTGACAAGTAGAGATGGTATCGAAAGTGTATTTACAACTGCCAGGCCAAGAGAAATATTTATAAAAATATATTTGATTGGATTTGTAAATGAAATTGAGTGAGAATTTAAAATAGAAATACAAATGACAAATCAAGAGAGTGATCTTGGTTTTTTTTCCCTATTTGATTTACAAAAGAGCTTTTTAAAGTCTTGAAGAATTTTGTGAGATGGACAAAGAAGAGAAAACAAATGTCAAGAAAATATTTGAATGAATTAAAATTAAAACAGTGAGAAATAAAGGAAGGAATATAGAGTGGGTTTTCATCAAGTTTAAACAAATTATGTTGTTACTTGTGGCTATCCTTTATGGACTTTCTGCTGATACCAGGACTGAAAAGATGATGTTTTATAGATAGATAGATTGATTGATTGATAAGAATTGGGACATGGGATGAGGAGATAAATGTTTATCACTTTAAAGAGATGAAATGTGTTTACACTTGTGATCAATTATCCTGTGGACGGCTAATAAATTAAACAAACAACAAACAAATATTGCAATATTTCTTTATATTAATTTTATTTTCTTCCTTTTTTGCACTTTTTACTATTTATTTCATTTTTGTTCAAGTTTAGTTTGTATTAATATTTATTATTATAATTCTTAATACAAATTACATCAAAGTAGGAATATATCTACAGGTATCTAAATCCAATGATTTTGAAGATAAGATAGTAAAAACAAAAAAATACCTCTGCACTTTCTAAAGAATTTCTAGAAACATGTAATCATTATTCAAACTACTTATAACTTATAGGTCAAAGTCATTGGCTTTTATCCCACAGGGAATAGACTAATATATCAGCACTTTTGTGATTATGTGACTAAAGAAGCTGGATATCCAATGCCACAACAAGTAATAACACATTATGCCTTTATAAATCTTTAATGAGATTTATAAGCTAACTTTAATTTCTACCTTTAGAGAAAGACAAATTAAATGTCTGAATGCAAGTAGTTTTTTCCTTTGCCAATCTTCTAGTTGTTTGTATGTACAAGTTTGCAGGGAGCCCCAAATGATCAGATACTGCTGATAGGTCTGAATTATCAAAAATACTGGTTTAGCATTTAAACAACCATGCAGATATCTATATATATAAAAGCAAAATACTACTCACACATCACAAAATCTCAAAAATCTAAGGCCTACAAACTTCAAATTTGCCACCTATGTTCCTCTTGGCTTCTAGGTGCTCACTAAGAAAGGATTTTTCTAAATGACCATCAGAGCATTAGTATTCCCTATATTATTATTAACACGCTCTGATGCTGAGTTCTACTCCCCCTCCCAGCCTGAAAATAAATCTTTCAAATGCAAAGCACAAGCAGAGGAGAGGTGTTCCAATTTCAGTTTTACTTTCACAGCAGCAAGCAGCTTTACTACAGAACAGTTGAGTTAGGCCACATCCAGGCTGCTTCCTGTCTCCTTCTTGCTCACACAGCAAATAGTGTTTGAGTTTCCAAACACATCTCTCTTACATACTGACAGGACGCTAGCCAGATGAATACTGATGTATGCTGGTTGGCAGAGGCAGATTTTTCGCCCCTTATTTTCCTCCTCAGTTCAGATGAATCTGTTCCTTCTACTGTAACACTAGTTAAAGGGAAAAGAGGCAAAAACACTGAAAAAGATTTACATATGCAATTAGGAAAATACAAGTAAGGGAAGTTGCACACAAGTATCGTAAAACCCATCCCCAAGTCAGTAGACAGGCTGTAGACAGGCTGATGACAATGAGAGGGACATTCATTGTGGAATCTACCAGGCCTCAATCCACAACTGGTTAGCCAAAAAGTATACATCTAATAACCCCTACGCTAATCAGTCACAAATGAGATCAATGCCTTGGACTAATAAGTACTTGTCTAGTTTAAAATATGAACCTCAGATTGATTACTCCAGGGATAAGGTTGTTGATGTCAGACCTCTGTTACCATGTGCCTGGTGCCATGCTCTAAAGTGGCAGGATGAGAGTCCTGGGATGTGCTGCCGTGGTGGCAAAGTCCATCTCCCTCTCCTTCAGCCCTCCCCTGAACCCTTACACAGCCTTCTCACCCACCACCATCCAATGGCAATGTACTTCCTTTCTGCTGTCCAGAAGTACAACGGATGCTTCCAAATGATATCTTTTGGAGCCAGAGAGGTGAAGGAGGGAAATTTTATAACAACATTCAAAGTGCAGGGATGTATCACAGGATAGCGAGTATCATGGCAGGGCCTCAGCAGCAACCTTCATTTTTCCAGATATACTTTGTTGGTGATGATGACAATGAGAGGGACATCCATTGTGGAATCTACCAGGCCTCAATCCACAACTGGTTAGCCAATTGCAGAAATTGCTGTGTGAACACAACAAATATATTCTGGAACTTAGGGCTACTGTTGACTCTGTTCCTAAGGGCCACAAGGATTTCCAAGTGGTGGAAACGCCCATAGGAAGTCTTCTGGAGAGCACCAAGGTCATTTCAATGCCCCCACAACTACAGAAGTGGCTGTTCTCATTGTTGGCCAGGCTTTTGAGAAAAGAGATATTGTTCTCCACAGCAGGGACAACAGTGAGATGCACCATGCCTATGACGCTCTCCAGTACCCTCTAATGTTCTGCCGTGGAGAAGATGGCTATTACATCAATATACCTCAGTGCGAACCAAACACCAAGATTCATCTCAAGAAGTCCATGTCTGCTGCTGCCTTTTACAGCTACAGGATAATGGAGCGTTATGGTGAAGAATGCTACCTACTGCTGCTCCAGTTCCGTAATGAATCACGGGTATCCAACTGGCTAGTTCAATATCAAATGAACATGTAAAAACCAGTGTACAATATACAGTCCTCAACTTATAACTGGTCTCTTAACAAATGGTTGAATTTATAGCAGTTTTTAAAAAAGCTACTTTAGACTTATTGTTGCAATTATGACTACTCCCTTCCCATCCTAGCCACATGATCACATCTCAGTTACATAGCAACTAGTTGGCCAGTTGTAGTGTTCAACAGTCAGGTGACTACAATTTTAACGATTTTTTGGCAAAGGATTGGAAAATGCTAGGATTTGCTTAATGATCACATGATTTGTTTAACACCATAGTGACTTGCTTTATAACCATTGTAAAAACTTGTAAAATTGAATCTGGTTACATGCTATAGCATTTCAAGAGGGACTTATGATTGAAATTCCAGGCTCCACCATGGTTGTAAATTAAAGAGTATCTCTAGTGCATTTCAATAAATTGTCAGTAAAATGTTTACCTAACTTCAGAATAATTAATTACCTTAGCTTCAATTTGCCTATAACAAGAGACCCCAAATATTGTGCTTCGATCTCCACTTCTTGGTGGCAAATGGAAAAACACTGTGTCTAAAAAAGAAGAGAAGAGATGGTTTTGTTATCCTTTATACGTATTACATTGAGACATTATGTTTCTTCAGTATTATAATTTTCCAAATAATCCTAAGGACCAAATTTCAAATTAATGTACCATAATCAGGGGGGAGGGAATGCAACTTTTTATTTGATAATATAAATGTGCATATGACTATTCTGAACAGCCAAAGCAGTTTTACTATTTTAAAAAAAACTTGTTATTTTAATCATACTGAAGTAGTTATTTGATTTGGGTTTTTTGATGGTAGTAAAGAGCATTCCAGGCAAGAGGGATCCTGTAAGAGTTTCTATATTCGCAATATAGGTGTTCAGGTGAAGTGCTCCTAAAGAACTGTTTGATTAGCTTGAATCAATATACAAAGGTTCAGCCCCTCCAATGTTTTTGATACTCAGATTCCTTTAAGGCTACTGATTCATTATCCTGCTGAAGAGAATACAAAGTTTCTACTTTTTTTCTAATAGGTTGCTATCTAAATTATAATTATGCACTAGCTTCACATATCACAAAGACTATTAATATGGTATGTAGATTTTAACTTAGCATGATTTGTGAATCTAGTCATTGTGATTTGTAAACCATAATTAATTGTTTAGAGCAGGGGTGTGAAACTCACGTTGTTACAGTGGTGTCATGTGACGTATTGGGACTTTCCCCCCTTCGCTAAACTGGGTGTGGGCGTAGCCAGAGCATGATACATCTGGCCCATGGGCAGGGAGTTTGACAATTCTAGTTTAGAGTAATGTATGAACCCAATCAATATTAAATTAGGTAGGGTTAGTTATGGTATCAAATTAGATAACCAATAACAAAATATATGACCATAGTATAGGTTAAATATACTATGTTAAATATGTACTATCAAATTGGCATTTTAAAACTTTCAAGATTCTAATTCCAAATTTGAGACAATATAATCTTAAAATACATATGATACATGATTCATTGAAGTATCTAGGTCTTTTACACGGATAATGGTCCTGTATAAAAAGCTTTTCCAGCTATTTTCATATACATCCAAATGTCTAAATTGCTTTCTTCCTGCATATTGCAAAATTCCTAGTTCATCTGCTTCATTCAGCCTGTCCAGACAGATAGAGAGGTATATGTTACTTGGACACAAAGAGGGCAAAACTGCTTCAAATCCTATGAGCACATCCTCTCTGACCCTGTCAGCAGTTTCTTAAAGGAATCGGGCTGTTTCACAGTAGCCAGGGAGCTCAGGAAATGCATATTTTGCTGAGTCTGCATAATCACTGTGCAAGCCTTGAAAGGATGCAACTCTTTTAAGAAAAAGAAAGTACCCATGACTGATCCAAAGCACCTTTGCTTCTTTCAGATTGGAAAAATGCATATTTTTAGGTAGATAGGATATTGGGAATTATGAAAATATTTTGCTATTGGCTATTTTCACAGCTGGTTGAAATGGGGCGTTGGTTCTTCCCTGATACGCCCTTCTCTGGGCAGGTGGAGACAGCGGTCATGCATGGGTTAACTCAGTCAGTAACCAATAGAACTGAGGCTACCAAAGTGTTGTCATCGCCTCTGAGGAGCATGCTCCCACTTTTCTTGACGAAGGAGATAAGTAGACTGCTGTGCGGTGAACAATCACTTTCCATCCAGTGACTACACAACATGCTCCCAGATCACCCCTCCCACCTTCCCAGAGAAGGGGCATATCAGGTAAGAACCAATGCCCCATTCTCCAAAGTTGGTGGAGACAGCGGTCATGCATGGGTTAACTCAGTCAGTAACCAATAGAACTGAGGCTACCAAAGTGTTGTCATCGCCTCTGAGGAGCATGCTCCCACTTTTCTTGACGAAGGAGATAAGTAGACTGCTGTGCGGTGAACAATCGCTTTCCGTCCAGTGACTACACAACATGCTCCCAGATCACCCCTGCGAGGTAGGCCAGGATCCCAAGGGTGGGGATGACTGCTGTCTCCACCTGCCCAGAGAAGGGGTGTATCAGGTAAGAATCCCATTCTCCAAAGTTGGTGGAGACAGCCATCATGCATGGGACGTACCAAAGCTGGCGTTTCCCGGGAGGGTATGAGACTGGCCTAGGAGCTGGAAGAAGGGAGAACCTGTTGGAGGACTCGACGCCCGAAAGCTGCATCTGCTGATGCATATTGATCCACCTTGTAATGTCATATAAACGAATTAGGAGTAGATCAGGTTGCTGCCTTGCAGATCTCTTCCACCAAGGCCTGCCGCGCCCACACTGCTGATGTAGCCACGCTGCATGTGGAATGAGACGTAATGTTGGGTGGAGGGGTGAGATGATGCGTGATGTAAGTTTGAGCAATGGCAGACTTGATCCATCGTCCAATCATGGATGGAGAAGCTTTCAGTCCTTTGCTGGTAGGGTGGAAAGAGACGAAGAGGGCTTTGCTGTGTCTGAAGACTGCCGTCTTGGCGATGTAGGTTTTAAGAGCACGCTTGACGTCTAGCTTGTGCCATTTGCACTCCAGACTGTGAGATGGAGTGGGACAGAAGTTTGGAAGAGTGAGATCTAGAGAGCGATGGAATGCTGAATTCACTTTCGGGATAAAAGTGGGGTCTATGCAAAGGACCACCCGGTCTGGGTGGAACACACACAGGTCAGACTGGATGGAAAGGGCCGCCAGCTCTGAAACCCTCCACACCAAGCTACAAAGGTCTGCAACGTAGATTCGTATATCCTGTTGGTAACTGGGGGGCGGGAGGCCTGAATGGTATGGATTATAATCTCGGAAAGGTTATCTGGCCCCAGGACTGCCTGCTCAGCCTCCAAGCGGTTAGGCATAGCCAGCGCAGGTTGGGGTGGTGAATGGAGCCCTGATGAAGGAGATATGGAATCATTGGTAGAAGCCACTGAGGTTCCACAGAAAAATTGATCAAGTCCACGTACCATGGACGGCGCAGCCAATGGGGGGCAATTAGGATGAGCCGAGGTGACTGCAGTTCGGCTGTTCAAATCTCACCGGCTCAAGATTGACTCAGCCTTCCATCCTTCCGAGGTGGGTAAAATGAGGACCCGGATTGTTGGGGGCAATATGCTGACTCTGTAAACCGCTTAGAGAGGGCTGAAAGCCCTATGAAGCGGTATGTAAGTCTAACTGCTATTGCTATTGCTAGCTCGGCCTCTTCCTCTATCACTTTCCGAATCACCCTCTGTATTAGGGGGAAGGGAGGGAAGGCGTACAGGAGACCGTGAGGCCACTTGTACCTTAGTGCATCTGTCCCTTTTGCGCCTGGTGTCATGTATCGAGACAGGTACCTGGGCAGCTGGTTGTTGGCTGATGTTGCGAAGAGATCCAGGATTGCAGTCTCGTACGCCAGCTGATGAAATATGCAGCGATTCAAGCTCCACTCCACAGGGTCGATCGTTGTGCAGCTCAACCAGTCTGCTCTGGTGTTGTCTGAGATATGTTCAGCGTATAGGGAGAGAAGGTTGGCTTCTGCCCAAGTTCCTAGGCAAAAGGCAGACTCCATGAGAGATACCGCTCTCATCCCCCCCCCCCTTGGCAGTTGACATGCACCTTGGCCGTAGTATTGTCCATCCAGATCAGCACATGTGTGTTTTGAAGAGAGGTCTGGAAATGAAGGAGGGCCAGATGGATGGTCCTCAATTCTAGCCAATTCATACTGTGGGATAGGTAAGAGTCGGACCAAAGCCCCTGAGCTACCTGATCCTCCAGGTGAGCTCCCCAACCTATCAGACTCACGTCCATTGTTACTACGAGACGCGGAGGTTCCTTGAAAAGAGAGCCCTGAGCTATGGCCGGGGAGATCCACCAGTCCAGGGATAGCAGGACCTCTGGGGTCAGGCTGACCTTCATTAGGGAACAGTTGCTGTTGGTCTTCTGGAATGGCAGAAGAAATCACTGGAGGCAGCGGCTGTGAAACCGTGCCCAAGGGACGATGGAGAATTGAAACAGCTGAAGAAGAGGGACCCACTGTCTCCTTCGTACCTCCTTGGCTAATTCCCTGAGACTGCTCTGGCGGTCCTGATACAGGAAGACTTTCCCCTGGGAGGAATCTATGAGGGCTCCCAGGTGCACCAGGCGAGAAGTGGGGATGAAGCGACTCTTTTCCCGATTGATGGAGAACCCCATTTCCCCTAACATCTGAAGGGTGTCCTGGAGGTCCCTGAGGACTTGGATCCATGACCTGGACAACAAAAGGATGTTGTCCAGGTAGCAGAAGATCTGGATGGGCCTGGCCCGCAGATGGGCTGCTACAACCGACAGAAGTTTCGTGAAAACCCTCGGGGTTGAGGACAGCCTGAAAGAAAGGGCCCGATATTGGAAGTGGAGGCCTGCATGTACAAAGTGGAGAAACCGCCTGTGCTGTCTGTGAATTGGCACATGGAGGTAAGCCTCTGTCAGGTCCACTGATGTGAGGAGATCGTGTCTGCGAACACTCTTCAGAATTGACAGGAGAGAGTTCATCTTGAATCTCCTGTATCTGATGAATTGATTTAAAAAATTTAGATCGAGGATTGCCCTCTGGCCCTCCGAAGACTTTGGCATGATAAAAAGATGAGAATGAAATCCTTGGCCTTCCTGGCCTGGAGGCACAGGTTGAATGGCCCGGAGTAGATGATGAATGGCCTGCTCTACCAGGAGCCTTTTTTGAGGGTCCCTGCAGATCGGACATGTGACAAAGTGGTTCGGAGGGCTGGAGCGCAAATCCAGGAGAAGGCTGAGGCCTGCATATACAAAGTGGAGAAACCGCCTGATTGTGGACCTGACTCATGCGTTGTTGGTGATGTCATCCCAACAATCTGCGAAGGCTGCCAGACGCCCCCCCTATTGGGAGATTCTCCAGGTAGTCACTTCTGCCTCTTAAAGGAACGATTGGAATTGTCCCTGAAAGGCTTTCTGGGCTGGAATCTTTGGTTCTTCCTGCCTGAACTATTGGAAAAGGAGGGGGGCTGTCTAAATGGGGCCTGTCATTGGGGACGGGAATTGAAAGCACTCCCATCCTGACAACAAAAGGTCTGCCTGAAGTAAAAGGATTGGTTCTGACCTTCCTGCTTTTTAGTGGCTTGTTGCAGAACCTTCCTCTTATCCTTGGACTCTACCAGAAGGGGTTCTAATGGAGGACCAAAGAGAAGGGATGAAAATAGGGAGAGGAGATAAGTCTCCACTTGGCCCATGCTTCTGCCTGCCACTGTTTTAGCCAGAGAAGCCAGCGAGTGGAGATGGAATATGCAATGGCTTTGGACGCAAAATGGACCGCATCCAAGGAGGCATCTGCTGTGTATTCTAGGGCCGCCTTAATTTTGTTAATGTCCCTGCAAGCCCTAGAATCCCTGGCTGTAAGGCGAGCTTGAAGTTGTCTCCGCCACAAGAGAGCAGAGCAACTAAAGGAGGACGTGGAGGTGCCCGCTCTAACGGCCCAAACTGAGGCCTGGTGACCTTTGACCAGAGTTTGTTCTATTCTCTTGTCTTCAGGTCGCAGAGCTTCCTCCAGAGCTGCTGAGGCCATGTTCGGAGAGGAAAGGGCAATTATAGGCAAATCAATAGAAGGTACCTCCAAGGCCTTGGCGAGGTCAAGAGCAACATTATACAGGCACTTTTCCGAGGTATTGGGGAGGATTCCAGTACCTGGAGAAGCCCATTGATTCTGGATATCTATGAAGAACCGTGGTGATGGGATCACCTCCTTTTCCACTGTAGGCTGGATGAAGAGTGGATCAGTGGTGTCAGTCTTGTCTGCTTCTGAACTCTGAATCGCCTTAGGAGAAGGAATGCCTGTGATCTTCTTGGTCTTAAAAAGGAGAGAGCGAAAAACAGCAGGTTTAAATAAACTGACAAAGGGAGGCGGATTGGGAAGAAGACCCTCATCCTCCAAAAGATCTGAGTCTCTTGCAAGGCGTTCCTCTTCCCCGAAGACCGATGGTTGATTGGAAGTGCTGGGTAGCTCGTGAGACAAAGAAGCCGAGAGATCACCACCCCTGCGCCTGGAACTAGAGGAAGAAGCAGACCTGCGAGAAGCAGAAAGATTAGAAGACCTGTGTTTAAGGCCGGCTGCAATACCACGTTCTATGGCCTCAGAGATCATATCAGCTATGCCCGGTGAGTAAGAACGGCGTCAGCGGGGAGTGGGAGAAATATCTTCCTGGTAGAGGGGATCCTTATCAGGAGTGAAGGTCCTGCCACAATCCGAATCATCCCCACTGTTGGCCAAATCATCTGTGCCCCTGGCCTCCTCGGGCTGCAGGATTGATGCAGCAGGGGAGAGGTCATCCTCCGAATCCGAAGATAAGTCAGGAGGGGGACTGGAATGAATAGGCCTGGAATATGCGAGGCTCAGCGTGCTTGGTTTTGGATCTGGCTTTCTTAGCGGGGGCCTGAGGGGCCCTCTCATCCTCCCAAGGGGATAAATCCTCTACGCCCCCCCTGATTAGGCCTTGGGTCCTTGGAAGGGGGCTCGATGTTATCAACCGGAGCAGGCCTGTACCTGCAGACATGAGGAGCAGGGGGTTCGGTGGTAGGGGCAGGAGCCAAGGAAGTTGGAGGCAGTTGAGGCTCCAGAGGAGGAGAGGAGGCCATAGCCAGTACTCACGATTCCTTGAATGCTCAAAATGGCCACCAGATGACTTTCGCGCCCAAACCAAATGGCCACTGAGGCTACAGAGCCTATGGGCTGGCACCATGAGGTAGCCAAGGCCGCGTGGTGAGCGTGAGCGGTATAGCCCCTGGAGCCAAGGGCGAAGTCGCGGATGTGTAATGGTCGCTGGAGTGATGAAAAGGCGGTGGTGAAGTGTGGAGGCTGCAGTGGCGTTCCTCAGTGGCATGTGGCTCTTTGCAGCTTTTTTGAGGCTCCCCGCAGTGTTTGGAGGCTTCTGGAGGCGGCAACTGCAGTTAGCGGTGCAGGCAGCAAGGCAGAGGACGGGAATTCCCCTGCTGAGGTGAGCAGAGACTCCCACGGCTATTTCAGCTAGCGCTGCTGAAATAGGAAGCCTCAGAAGCCCGGAGGCAATTCAAAGGCAAGCCTCTGATGAGGCACGGCAAACACTCTCCAGCCCCCAGAGAATATTGAGAGTCCTAACAGGAGCCCAATCCAGAGACCAATTTAGAAAGGTAATTTTCTTTCTTTGTTTGAGTGAAATCCAATTAAATCCAATTATTCAATTATCAAGTATTAGTTGAGGAGAAAGCGATTAGCACAGCCAGTTCCAATAGAACTGAGTCTAAAAAAGCGGGAGCCTGCTCCTCAGAGGCGATGACATCACTTTGGTAGACTCAGTTCTATTGGTTACTGACTGAGTTAACCCATGCATGACTGCTGTCTCCACCAACTTTGAAGAATGGAAACCCTAAATCAATTTTCCTTATTATATTTTAAGATGCTCCTTTATGCAATTAATTACTATCCACAATATTAACAAAATATATTAAGCAAAGAGGGTGAGTGGTAGCCTAATATAGAGATGAACTGCCTCTCAGCAATCAAGAAATTGGTTCTGTAAGCATATCTTTTTTCTTTTATTACAACTATGCACTAATGGCTTATTGTAATAGTAGTAGAATACTTGGTAACTACCATAATTTCCCCAAAATAAGACCCATCCTGAAAATAAGCCCTAGCCTGTTTTTTGTGGTGGGCCTAATATAAGCCCTAACCCCCCCAAAACTGGGAGGGATGGGCGTGGCCAACACAAGAGGCAGCAAGTACATGTGGACTGACAGTCTGCTGTAGCAGCTGCAGCCTGCCAGCTTAATTAATTTATTAATTAAGTGATTAGCTCCATTTCAAAGCATCCCATTTGCAAGCAGACAAAGCTTCATCTCCCTCTTGGTGAAAAGTGTACAGTGGAGCCAGAGGCACGGGGGAGGGCAGGCGTGGGGGAGCCAGGCGACCCCAACACATTTAGCTCCATTTGAAAGCATCCCATTTGCAAGCAGATGAAGCTTCGAGTCTCTGTCATTTTTCTGTCCAATTGAAAAGTGTGTCTGCCCTGGGAAGACCTGTAAGCCGTTGTGGCCATAGCCAAGCAAATGGTGGGAGGAAGTGGGCAGGTGGTCACAAAATAAGACACCCTCCAAAATAAGCCCTAGTGCTTATTTTGGGGCCCAAAAGAAAACAAAACTCGGTCTTATTTTTGGGGAAACACGGTATGCATTGATTTTGGTATTTTGGTCTGTGTTATTTAGGAATTGTGCAAGTCTTGTGCACAGTTCACCTAAACACATTCACACTGTTTTGCAGAACCATTTCAAACCATAAACATCAGACATGTAAATATATATATATTTTAAAAATGAAACTCAAATCAGTTTTACTTCATATTACTTTCAGGAACTTACTTCTTCCTCTACCTGCAAGAGACATTTTAAAATCTTTATTCACATTCTTTCTCTAGGAAAAGAAAGATAAATTTTGTTTGTGGCTGAAAACACACACTATTATTTTTTAAACATTTGCTTGCCAGCTCACTGTATACAAAAGTCTAGTTTGGCACTGCTATGATGAGAGCATCAAATTTTTCACCCAGTATCATTTGTAGGAAAGGAGCATTATGTGGGCTCTTACCATCTTGATAGTTGTGAGCACCATCTGGCAATGCAAGAAAAGGTAGGTATTTCCATTCCTCTGGCAAAGTGTTACTATCATGACTTTCTTCAGGCATTAGAGAAGGATAGGAGAACTCAATCTGAAAGGAGACATATATTACATGAGTTTAAATGCAAGAATACAAGAGAACCTCACCAAATCCATATTCAGTCATCAGGTATCCAAATATATAACTGTTAAGTAATTCTACTGTTACCTCAGGCAAGAGGTGTAGAGAATCCCAAGCAGCATATGAAATTTAATTCAGATTAAAAAAGGCTGAATTCTATTCCACATTGAGCATGATTAAACAGATCAGCAGGTTAATAACACCAATCAGCCTGGATTATAAATATTTTTGATAGATTAAAGCAGTGGAAGAGCTGGGACTTGTGTTGAAACTAAGTGAAGAAGCTATTTGATCTACTAGATACTTTGAATTATTGGATTATTGAATACTGGGGGATTTGGTGGGCCTCCTGGATTATAAATTATAAATAATGACTGATAGAAGACAAAGAAATGAAGCTCCAATGGTGACATCATCATGGAGTGGTGGGAGGGAACAGGCTCCATTCCTGAAGCCCAAACTTTCCTGGCAGAAAGCTTCTAAAAACACAGGCAATCTCAGAGGGATTGACAGAAGAAAGGGGAAGCTCCAAAGATCTCAGGGGTGAAAGGTGATTCCCCCTAAGGGATAGGAGAAACTCCTTGACTCTGGCAGGAAAGAAACCAGCCATTTCAGCTGGTTCAAAACGGTGACAGCCACAAAGCAGGA